GGCCCACCCACCGGGAGCCAGCAGGCAGAAAGCTAGCCAGCCCGAAGGCTGGCGCTCCCCGCCCACAGCTCCCTGTGCGCCGGAAGCATCCCTGTGTTTTTTCTATACTTAAATATCTGTGACAAACCAGGACGAGTATTGGTTCAGTGTCCTTTCTCCTGTACCCAAACAGATCCTAGGTCTCCTTTCTCCTTCCCTCTTTCCCTCCCTCCTTTCCTTTCTTCCCTTCATTTTTTTTTTTGTGGTACTAGGGATTGAACCCAAGGCTTTCTCACTAAGCTAAATCTCCAGGCTCCTTGCTCCTTCTTTTCTTAAGACAGGATCTTACTGCCCAAGCTAGATTATCACAGTCTTGCCTCAGCCTCCCAGAGTGCTGGAATTAAGGTACAGACTACCACACATGGCTTTTTTTTGCCCTTTTGAGATAGGGTTTCACGTGGGGCCAGGGATATAGCTCAGTGGCACAAGCACCTGCCTGAGATAGAGTGTCACTACAGCCTAGGCTGGCCTTGAATTGCCCCGGTCTTCCTGGAATTATAGGCAGGCATCACCATGCCCAGCTTAGGAGTGCTGCTCTCAAGCTACATGATTTTGAGCCTACCTCTTTGAGACTCTCCTCCCCTGTAAGCTGGGGGCAATGAGAATAACTAATGTGAATTAAATGAGATGATATAGATTAATTGCTGAATATAGTGTGTAGTATGTCGTAGGCCATCTACAAATGGTTCACCTTCATCACTACATGACTAATTTGATAAAGAGTGGTAAACCGTAGCTGCTGAGACAATGGGAAGCAGGATGTGTGGGAGTGAATGCACCTTGGTGGGGCCCATCCTTAGTGATGGCACCAGTTTTTTAGGACTGCCTGTTTTCTGGAGTTCAGTCCCAAACTGTCTCCAAACAAATCTCTCACTTTTGGTTGGCACCTTTTCCCCTGCTCTTGCAAAGGCCCAGGACATAGTATTTTGTTTTCTTGTTTCTTGAGACAGTGTCTTAGTATGTAGTTCAGGCTGGCCTTGAACTCGGGTATAACATACTGTGTAGTTTTCCAGCCCTGAGGGCGGGTTGTTAAAGATTCATTGTCTTTTTGTTGTTGTTGTTGTTGTTGTTGTTTTCCGGTACTGGGAATCAAACTCCTGACCTTACCCTTGCCAGGCAGGCGCTGTGCCACTGAGCTAAATCTCCAGCCCCTAGATAGATTGATTGATTGGTTGATTGGTTGATTTGTACTGTGGATTGAACTCAGGGCCTTTACTCTGAGCTACATCCCTATCCCTTTTTCTTTCTTTGATTTTGAGACAGGATCTTGCTGAGTAATGAAATCATCTAGGCTGGGCTCAGACTTACGATTCTTCTGCCTCAGCCTCCCAGAGTGCTGGGATTACAGGCATGGGCCACCACATGGTGGCTTTTCTCTCATTTATAAAACAAAAATTGTGCCAGGTGTGGTAGCACACACCTCTAATCCCAGCAGAGGAAGGCTAAGGCCAGAGGATCAGCAGTGCAAGCCCAGCCTGGGCAGCTTACTGAGACCCTGTCTCAGAAAGACAGTGTGGGCACAGGAGGTGCTATGGATGTCCAGCTGAGGGCAAAGACCTTGGCATTCAAACCTCAGTATCCTACCAGGCATAGTGGCACGTGCCTGTGATCACAGCTCTTGGGAAGCTGAGACAAGGGAGTCATGATTTTAAGGCCAGCCTGGGCTGCATAGTGAGCTCAAGGCCAGTCTGAACTACATAGTAAGACCCTATCTCAAAAACCAAACATCCAAAAAAAAAATCCCCAGTGCCCCAGTACCGCTGGCTAGCTAGCTACCTAAATTGTGCCCATGAGCACAATTAATGCCCAGCATGAGCCCTTCCAGTCTTTCCTAAGACCACCAAACTTGGATTTAAACACCTTTGTTTCTGCAACTTCACGTCCTACTGAGTGTTATATAACCCCAGGAAGGCAGGCCCTTTTCCCCTGTCATCCCCACTCCTTGATTCTGTAGTCCTGCTCTGGCCCAGCTCATTTGAGTCTCGGGAGTGGCATTTCCAGCTTCCATCAGTACTCTGCAACTAGAGCCACTAAATCCAAAACCTAAGTTCTGTCAGAAAGAGGTGGCTGGCTTTGGCTGCATCCCAAGATTTCTGGCAAGAAATAAGGAAGTGGCCACAACTTGGCCAAGTCCAGAACTGTATTTTGTGGGAAATGCAAGAAAAACCTTCTGTTTTTCTTCACTCTCTGCCTCTGTTGTAGAAGCCATTGTACTCCCAGGCTTGAAGCCTTTACTCGTACACTTCAGGCTTGAAGTTTACCTCCTTACTCGTCCGCTTGCCCACTCCCTCAAACTACACTTGCTCCCATGTCCTAAAATGTGTGGTGCCCCCAGGTCTACCCGGCCTTCCTCACCCATGCTGCTTCTGCTCACACGAAGTCCATGTGCTCATGAGCTAGACTGCCTTCACTCTCTCCCCACCTTGCTGACACAGCCTGGGCTCCACTGCACTGCTTGCACTGGCCTCCCTCGTCCATGGTGGGAACCTGTTCTCTTCACATGTTCTTTTGGCACTGGGGGGTTGAACTCTTGGCCTTGTGCACAGGAAGCACACGCCCTGCCACAGAACTGTACTCCAGCCTTGGCATTTTTCCATCTCTGCCTTCACATGGGATGTGGCCTGAGACACACAGCACCCGCTTAGAGTGGGTGCAGTAACTGGAAAGACCACTAGACAGTCTTGATCATTTCATTTGAAAAAAAGAAAAAAGTCTTGATTGCTTCATGATTTTTTTTTTTTTTTTTTTTTTGAGACCAGCCTCACTCTGCAGTTCAGGCCGGCCTTGATCTCACTTTGTAGCCCAGGCTAGTCTCAAACTTGCAATGACCCTCCTGCTTTAGCCTCCCAAGTGCTGGGGAGGTGAAAATGTTGGAAGTACATTGTGTACAAGTCTAAATCTGCCCAGATAAAACCTACTCACCTGTGTAATCAGAATACACTAATGAAAACAGGTGTAAAACAAAAAAAAGAAATAGTGGGGGAGGCTTCCCTGGGGATGTCCACAGACTTCAGGTTTCAACTTTACTTTTTTTTTGTTTGTTTGGTTTTGTATTTTTGAGACAGGGTCTAGCTGTGCAGTTCAGGCTGGCCTTGAGCTTACTTTGTAGGCCACGCTGGTCTCGAACTCCCAAGGATCTTCCTGCCTCAGCCTCCTGAGTGCTGGGATTATAGGCTTGTACCACCATGCCCAGCTGTTGCTATTTTTTGTCCCTATTAAGTGATGGGCTGAGGGGAATGACTGTCAGGTTCACCTGATCAAGTACAATGGAAGACACAGACATCCAGAATGGTCTCCCCTTAGGAACTGTGCTGGGGCCCGTGCTGTTGCTTGTTTTACTAGGTCATAAAGAAGTAGTTTAATATATTTGGCCCACAGCAGCCCCTCGTCTGGGGCTATTCGGAAGGCCATGTCTGGTGTAGGTTCTGTTCGGGGTGGCTCAGTAGCCATTCTGCCTTACCTCAGGGAGCCTGGGGAACATCAGTATATGTTATTTGTTATGATACTAGAGCTCTAGCCCAGGGCCCTCCTACGCAAGTACTTTACCACTAAGCAGTAGTTTTGTTTTCTGAGAGTCTTGCTCCATAGTTCAGACTGGCATTAAACTCATTCTGTAGCCCAGGCTGTCCTCGAATTCACAGCGATCCCCCTGCCTCAGTTTTCCAAGTGCGGGGATTATGTGCATGTGCCACCATGCCAGCTTCACTAAGCTATACTTTAAGTGTTGGTTGCTTTTGCTGGGAGACCCAAAATAGTCATTCCTGCTTTAAATCTTTTAATTCATCCAGGTGAGCTGTTTTTGAGGACTTAGGCGTTTTCATGGGTTTTTTTGTTGTTGTTTTTTGTTTTTTTTAAGATGAGATCTCACTATGTAGTTCAGACTAGCCTTGAACTCACTGTGTCAAATTCTCAGCCATCCTGCCTCAGCCTCCCCAGTGCTGGGACTGCAGGTGTGCACCACCACACTTGCTCCTGATGCCATATTCTTCAGCCTCCCCATTGTATAGATGAGGGAACTGAGACGCCTGTGAAGAGATTTGCACAAGGTCTCGTAACAGTGAAGCAGAGCCACCTTCCCGAGCTTGAAGCTTTTCTCTCTCCAGGTCACCCCTGCCTGGTGGGAGGCACATGCAAACAATGACCTGTGGAACACAGAACATGCTCTGATAGCTCAGCGGTCTGGCAGGGCTTGGAGCCTGCTAAGGTTACAGGTTGTGTTTGGTGTCTGTCCTCCGTTGCTCCAGATTCTGCCTGATCAATGCAGGAGTCCTGTACCTCTACTTCAGCAGCTACCTACAGATTGACGAGGAAGAATATGGCGGCACGTGGGAACTCACAAAAGAAGGATTTATGACATCTTTTGCCTTGTTTATGGTATGTACCTGGTAGTTCTGCAGCAGGTTCTGTTCCTTTATGAGCTGTCACTCGTGCAAGGAAAGCCAGTGATTGAGTTCAGCTACGTGGTTGAGGTGTCATTTTTGTTCAGAAGGCTCATGAGGCTGGAGTGATGCCCTCTTTTGAACGAGGCTGTCCCAAAGGATGTGGTGAGAGACCCTGTACAGTCTCTACTAATGTGCAGCTCCAGGGCCCACTGCCAGCTTCTTTATCTGACACTAATGTGAGGGCCTGGCTACGTATTAGAAACTGGGAAATATGTAATACACTTCAGCTGTTACAAAGTTATTTGTAATAGCTTAAAAGTACAAATAGCCGTCCCCTGATATAGAATGTTATTTGACCATACATACCACAAGCTTGAAAACGTTTATGCTAAGTGGAAAAATCCAGATACAAAAAACCATGTATTAGGGGCCGGGGATCTAGCTCAGTGGCACAGGCGCCTGCCTGGCAAGTACAAGGTCCTGAGTTTGATTCCTGATACCAAAAAAAAAAAAAACCAAAAAACAAAAAAGTGTATATTAAAGTCAGGCCTAATGCTGTAATGTCAGCACTTGGGAGGCTGAGGAAGACTAAAAGTTCAAGCAGTTTAGGGCAGGCCTGTTTCAAAATAATTTTTTTTTTTTTCCAAAATAAATTTTGAAAAGGGCTATGGGAGTATAGCTTAGTAAATAGGATCTAGGTTCACTCCCCAGTTCAATCACTGTTTATGTGTTTGTTCATTTGTTTGTTTGTTTTTTCCAGTACCAGGAATCAAACTCATGACCTTGTGCTTGCCAGGCAGGCACTGTGCTGCTGAGCTAAATCCCCAGCCCCTGTTTATGTGAAATGTCCTAAAATAGGCAAGTCTATAAAGATAGAAAGATTAGTGGTTTCCAGTGGTTGAGGGAAGGGAGAAGTAGGAAGTAATAACTACTTGATCACGGGAACAGGCTTTCTTTTTGGAGTGCTATTTTGGAATCAGTGTTTATACAGGCACAACTTTGTGAATATACTAAAAATTTCTGACGAGGTGTGGTGGTGCATGCCTGTAATCCCAGTATTTGAGAGGTTGAGGTAGGAAGATCACCCTAAGTTCAAGGCTATCCTAGGGTACATACATAGTGAGTTCAGGTCCAGCCTAAACTACGTAGTGAGACCCTACCTCAAAACAAAATAAAAAATTCTAGAGCCGGGCGTGGTGGCTCACACCTATAATCCCAGCACTCGGGAGGCTGAGGCGGAAGGCTTATTGCAAATTTAAGACCAGCCTGGGCTACAAAGTGAGCTCAAGGTCAGCCTGCACTGCATAGCGAGACTCTGTCAAAAAAAAAAAAAAAAAAAAATTCTAAATTGTATACTTTTAAAAAGGGTAAACTTTATAAAATGTGAATTATATTTCAGTTATTCAAAAATTATGAGCTGGCCACAGTGGCACGTGCCTGTACTCCCAGCTGCTTGGGAGGCTAGGGGTGAGTTTGAGGCCAGCCTGCACAGCATAGCAAGTCTCCCACAAAATAAAAATTATACCCATACCCATATGTGTGCAGAGCCTATCCCAAAGAAATAAACACTGAGCAGCGGCACCAGGGCATCTTTATTTTTGGTGTTTCTTTGTTTTTAAGTTTTTTGAGACAGGGTCTTGCTTTGTAGTTCCAGCTGGTGTTGAATTCATTGTGTAGCCAGGCTAGCCTTAAACTTACAGCAATCTTCCTGCCTTAGCCTCTCAAGTACTGAGATTACACACCAGTGTGTGTGTGTGTGTGTGTGTGTGTGTGTGTGTGTTGAACCCAAGCAGCACTGAGCTACATGTTCAGCCTATTTTATTTTGCAACAAGGTCTTGCGAAATTGCCTGGGCTGGCCCCAAACTTTCAGTTCTCTTACCTCAGCCTCCTAGGGGGTTGGGATTACAGGTGAGGGCTGCTATATCTGGCTGTCTGGTTTGGTTTTTGTTTTTTTGAGACAGGATCTCCCTGGACCCCAAGCTGCCCTCAAACTTGCAGCAGCACAGCCTTCCCTGTATTGATTCCATATCTGTACCACCATTCTCTGGGACCAGGGTGCTGTTTGGTGAGGGGAGGGGGTTATTCGGAGATCCCTTTGGGAGCACAGGTGGGCTGTCTTGCACTTGGTTAGAGACAGCCTGAGTTCCAGTGAAATAATTAAGGCCCCTGGGAGTATCCTATGTGCACATCCTCACTTTGTGGAACTAACCTGTAAGCATTGCTTGTCTCCCCTCTAGGTCATTTGGATCATCTTTTACACTGCCATCCACTATGACTGATAGTGGACAGCCCCCCACCTGTTTCCTGTCCAATCCAAAGGACCCTCAGATTACAGCACAGAAAAGTGATTGTTGGGCCATCCCGGCCACACGGAACCTGGAAGACGCGTGTTTCCTGGACCAAGAATTAGAATGTTGAGCATCAGTGTTTTCTACAAGAGCTGTGACCTAAAACTTTTAAAGAACCATCTGCTTTGGGAAAGAACGCATTTGTGAATTTATCCATCACCAACCATTTCTTGGATACCATCATGTAACAGTCATTTGCCAAGTGGAGCTGTCATTTAATTTGGTGCATCTCTGAATCCGGGTGAAACATTAAATTGTTTTCCTCGGTTCTCTGTCCCGTGTACAGTTTTAAAACTGTAATCAGTGGCATTTCAAGTCTTCTGAAAACAGTGTGGCAGTGTGTGTGTGGTCCATAGCACAGTACAAAGACCTGTTTCCTTTGTAGAATGTTTTCAGATACTTGAATAAACAAATCTTTAATGAGAACCTGTTGGTGATGCCTGATAAACCCCTTCCCCCCTCACTTGCAGCCTCTGAGGAGCATCGGAGGAGGTGGCTCCTTTTTCTCTCTGCTCCCTTAGCTGCTGCGGCCGGGCTTCTTCCTCGGTGTGGGCAGCAGGGAAATCGGGGTGCAGTTGGTGTAGGCTGTGCTTGGGTGCGTTGTGCAGAGAGGGCTCGCTACCTCCTCACGCCCGCGCACTGCGTACTGCTCTGCGCTTACCTACAACACGCTGGGCTCAGCCAGTGTTACTCTGAGCCACGTGCAGCAGTGCACACCCATGATCTTCGGCGGCTGAGGCAAGGTCCAAGCCTGAGCTACACGGTGAAGGGGCGGGGTCGCTTTGCACTTGAGCACGAAAAGGCTCGGTTGGGGAGAATGGGTGCGCTTGGTTTTGAATAAGCGGCAGAGTGAAGTGGAGATCTGAAAGCTGGGGCTGTTCAGAGAAGGGGCTTGCGGGGGACATGTGAGGACCTGCATTGTCAGTGCTCCTGCTTGTTTGGGGGTCAGGTGGAGGCCGGAAGCCCAGGATCTGCTGCTGTGATCAGCCCCAGCCCACCTGCTTGCCTCTTCCTTCTGGGCCAGTCTCTCTGAGGTAAGAGTAAGGTGGTGTCCTACAGTGACTTTTCCTCCTCCATGTTAGTGGTGATCACACTGTAAAGAGGACCAGGCAGGGGGCAAAACTGGAGCTGGAATTCCCCAAATCAGGACCTGAACAGACCCCGGGGGAAGTTTACTCTCCTCTTGGAGCCCTGCTCCTGCCTCCAACTGCCCTGCACTCCAGGTAGAAGGTGCAGGCAGGGTCGCGGCCAGGGGAGGAGGTGAGCGACTTCTTAGGCCCAAGACAACGCGGGAGGCCCAGGTGGAAGCCTGGATGCGCCCCTGGCCCAGTTCTCCCCTCACACCAGGCACAGCCTTGCTTCCAGGGTCCCGGGGTTGAGCTAAGTGGGGCTTCTACGTGCCACAGCCTTGGTTCCCCTTTCGACCTCTGCTCCTGACCTTGGCATCATCCAAGGAGCCATCCTCGGTCAGGCTGATGTAGGAGCTAAGGGACTCTCGGAGCCCCTCGCTGAGAAGAGATGCTGCCCCCGTGGCGGGCGCTTCTGAAAACAGGAGGGAGCTGTGGAGTGGGAGTCAGGGAGAAGTTAGACACCTGCCCGCACACAGGTCACTGCTCTCAGGACAGCTCGGAGTTACTCCTGCCAACAGACTTGGGATCCCTGTTCCCTGTCAGATCAAACACCTCCTTGACTCCCCGTGCAGGCTTGTACTCTCCACCCTGCTACTCTGCCTGCCTTAGGGTCCATGTTTGCTTTATCCTCTGTCACCTGTGCCACACCCCGCAGCCCCACTGAGCCGGGCTGGGCTCCAGTCAGAGAGCTCTGGCCCAGGTGTCCGTAAGTATGTTCCCTGTCCTGGGTCCTGATGGTTCTTGGTTCTGCCTCTGATTTTTCCAGGGGTCCCCTCACCTGTCCAGCTCGTTCCAATTCAGAGACGTCCTCTGCACAGTCACAGGTGGGGGTATGTCCTTGACAGGGAGTAGGCTGCTCCTCTGCAGGGCACAGGGCTCCTTGAGGACACAGCAGATGTCATCCGCCAGCTCTGAGGAAGACAAAAGGACTTCTGACGCCTCTGATGCAGCCCCGCTTCTCCCCAGCGCCCCTCCCTGGCAGCTTTCCATCCTTGGCAGGTGGGGGCATGGTCACCGGAGTAGCGGGTCATGGGCCCAAGCTGTTGGGGAGGCTGAGATGCAGTCAGGTCATCAGGTTGAGTTTTGGGAAACTTAATTCACTTGGGGAAACTGATGGAGCTCTGCGCCCTCTGGCTGGGAAAGTTCTTTGGGAAGAAAAGCAAGCTAGGGAATGTCGTGTTTCCATGTAGGATTGCTGATCTCCACTGCACGGAGCAACCTGGCCAGTTTTCCTAAGAGGTCCTTCCTTCTGCCTGACACTGCCCATAGTGAAACCAGAAGGTGATCACACCTTCCAGCATCTGTTACAGGACAGGGCCCAGGAAATGCTAAATCAGAATTAGAGAACTCTGCCTGCTGCTGGGCGCCCTGACCAAGAAGCACTGTGGCAGGTGAGGCACTGGCTGAGTCCGCGCTGGCCTGTCGCTCCTCTGTCAGCATGGGATGAAGACCAGGCTCCCATTTTGTCTCAGCACAGGGACTGGCGTGGAGACAGGGTTGTTCTTCTACATGGATAATCTCCAGCAGGTCAGGTGTCTAAGGGCACAACTGCCTACCCCCCTGGACCCCCTTCCCAGTCTTTCAGGGAGGCAAGAAAGGCCATACCAGAGTAATGGTCCACCAGGTCCTGGAGTGAGGGGAAGGTGAGGCAAGGGGAGATGTACACCCAGCCATTGTCAAGGCGCTGGATCCGGTAGTGTCTGACCCGGTCCCAAGATGCGGGGCGGCTGAGTCGGACTGACAGGGAGTAGCAGCCTGAGGAGGAAGGGATCCAGGAATGGTTCTGAGGCCCTGCTGGGACTCGGCCCCACGCAGGCAGCGGGAAGAAACCCTGTGGCTCAGGCTCTAGAGAACTGTGAAGTCAGAGACAGGACAAAGTCCTGTTGTGCTGTTCATAAATGACATATTCTTAATGTAGATAGGATCTGTGAGGAAGAGAGGGTCTTGTACACACAGCCCTCAGTATAGGGTCGGGACAGACAGGCGGCAGGCGGGTTAGAATGTGCAAATCTGTCAAGCAGGCATCAGCGAGGAGGTAGAGGAATAGGAACTCTCTTACCCTGCTGGTAGAAGGAGAAACTTATACAAGCCACTTTGGAAACAGCTTATGATCTTCCTACCTCAACCTCCCAAGTGTGATCAAAGAACATGTGCCTCGATGCCCTGCTGAAACATTATTTTATTTTTGGTTTTGGTTTTGGTTTTGGTTTTGGTTTTTGGTGGGATTTTTTGGTATTTTGGTGGTTTGTTTTTGTTTTCATTTTGTCTTTTTGAGACAGGGTTTCACTACAGAGTTCAGGCTGGCTTCTAACTCACAGTGATCCTCCTGCCTCAGTCTCCTGAGTATTGGGATTACAGACATGCACCCTGGCTGATCCTATTTAAAAACAGCTCAGGCTACATTCTGTGTTACATAGGGTTACCTGTATGCCAAGGCTATGGAGAGAAGCGTCTGAGTGATAGACACAGTAAAGCATGCAAAGGGCTTTAAAGGAATGGCTACTATACAATTTCTTGATCTGACCAGTGAGTACATGGACATTAGATTTATTATTAGTCTCCCTTTTTAAAAATTTGTTTGCTTTTTTGAGACAAGGTATTATGGTTTGTGTCTGGATGTCCCCCCAAAGCCTCATGTGGTCATGTGGGGTGGGCCTTCCAAAGGTGCTAGAATCTAGAGTTTGTGATTGGCTCATTGCCTAGTGCTGGGATTGGCCTTGTGAATGCTGAGCCTGCCCTGGGGCAGGTATCCTGCATACAGTATAAGGGAGGGGAAAAGGCTTGCTCCTCCCTTTTGCCCCTTCTGCTCTTGTTGTTTTTGCTGTCTTCCATTGCCATGAACCGTTGCACTCTGCCATGTGCCACCCTGCTTTGGAGCCAGCTGATTATAGACTGAAACCTCTACAAACTGTAAGCTAAATAAACCTTTCCTTCCTTGATGTTTGGCTTTGGGTATTTTGTCTCAACAATGAAAGAAAGAAACCAAGACACAAGGTCTCACTATGTAGTTCAGCCTGACCTTGAACTCACTATGTAGCCCGAGCTGACTTGAACTTGTGGTGATTATCCTGCCTCAGCCTCCTAAGTGCTGGGATTACAGGCATGCACCACCATGCCTGCTGCGTGCCTGGTCTAGATTTCTTTTCTTAATAAACTTTACTGAGGTATAATTTCTTTTCTTGCTGCCCCCCACCCCCTGAGTGCTAGAGATTGAAACCAGGGCCTTACACATGCCAAGGACATGGTCCACTACTAAGCTATACCCCTAGCCTCTGAGGTATAATTTCTATATGCATATACTTAAAGTGTGCAGTTTGACAGACTTCAATAAAAAATTTGATTTTTAAGAATCAAAAAGAACTGGCTAAGGGCAGGGGTGTGTAGCTCAGTGGTAGAGCACTTGTCTAGCATGCACAAGGCCCTGGATTCAAAAACAACAACTACCTGTAATCCTAGCACTCAGGAGGCTGAGGCAGGAGGATTACTGTGAGTTTAAGTCAGTCTGGGCTGCATAGTGAGACCCTGTCTCAAAAAAAAACAAAAATAAATAAAAATAAATTTTAAAAAATGCTCACTTCAGTAACACATATACTAAAAAATAAATGAAAAAACAAAAAGCTCAAGACAGACTTCATTTCTTCTTTCCTGAGCTACAATCCCTAGCTAGGATTCATTTTTAAGCCAGCATAGGAAGAGGGTGTGAAGTGAAATAACAATAACAAATTATCAAACTGGATTTTAAAAACCAAAACCTAAGGATATGATGAACACACTTCAAATATTAAAACAGGCTAAAAGTAAAAAGATGGAAAAAGATATATCATGTAAACTATCATAGGAAATTTGGAGTAGCTATATCAATATCAGACAAAGTAGAATCCAAGACCAAGACTATTATCAGAGACAGTGGTGCACGCCTGTAATCTCAGCACGTGGGAGGCTGGGGCAGGATGATTGACTTCTAGGCCAGCCTGAATTACAAAGTGAGACTGCCTCAAAAAAAAACAACCAAACAAAAAATATACATGAAGGAGAACTGACAGAACTGACCAGAGAAATGAGACACCCATAATCGGAGACTTTAGATCTCCCCATAGTAACTGACACACAAATAACCAGTGGAGCCAGAGAAGACTTGAACAAAGCAATCACAATCAGCCAGTTTGACTGAACTAACATAAAGCCCTGCACCCAACAACATTCCCTTCCAGGTGCACATGGGATACTCATGATAAACTGTAGTTTGGGTCACAAAAACAAAAACTTAAAAGGACAGAAATAATTACAAGTGTGTTCTTCGACCTCAGCAGAAATAAATTAGGAATTAATAACAAAAAGCTGACGAGGAAGCCGGGCATGGTGGTGCACGCCTGTGGCCCCAGTGAGAGAGGAGACCACCTCCTGCGGTGAAACTGAGCAATCATGGGTTCACTGTGCAGCTAAGCTCCCCAGGGAAACTGATGTAGCTAAGCTCCCCAAGGAGACTGATGACCGTGACCCTGGCTGTGTATGGGCACAGCTATGAGGCAATGTCAGCAAAACACAACAGACTTGGAAGTCTCCACAGAACTTCCCACTCCCCTTCACCACTGTTCAAGCCCCAGATGAACTCCCTGCCCCCTTTGGTAACTGTTCCTTACCTTTAATCATTGCTTCCACGTCTGTAACTTTGCTTTGTGCTAATTTCCAATGAAATATTGCCCCACAGAATAGAAACAATAGAAAAACAGGGGGAACAGGGCTTTGTTCTCCACTCTCAAGGGGACATGAGTCCCTTGGAGAGATGCTAGCAATAAACTGCTCTTTGTTCCTAAAACTCCAGGTCTGTCAGGGATCCCGTGGAGTCTCCTGCTTCACCAGCACTTGGGAGGCTGAGGCAGGAGGATTGCTGAGAGTTTGAGGCCAGCCTGGGCTAATAGCAAGTTCAGTGCCAACCTGAACTACATATCAAGAGACCCAGTCTCAAAAAATAAAAAAAAAAGCTGAGTGGGCTGGAGCCTCGGTGGTAGAATGCATGTTGCGTGTACAAGGCCATGGGTTCGATACATGACACACACACAAAATTGTGGGTTGGGGTTGTCAGAATCAGTGCTTAGACATACCTGGACAGCTTTAAGTGCTTACATTACTTAGAGGAGAAATATAAAATTGTCTCCACTTAAGAAGGAAATGAAGAAATAAATGATATAGGAAATAGAAAATAATCAATGGAACCAAATGTCAATTCTTCTTTTTTTTTTTATTTTTTTGAGACAGAGTCTCACTGTGTAGTTCAGCCTGGTCTTCAACTCCCTGTGTAGCCCAGGCTAGCCTCAAACTCACCATAATTCTACCTCAGCCTCTCAAGTGCTGGGATTGCAGGTGTGCATCACCACACCCCATCAAATGCCAATTCTTTGAAAAGATCAATAATCAATTAGGCACACCTATAATCCCAAGAGCCTGGGAGGCCGAGGCAGGAGTATTCCAAATTCAAGCCCAGTTTGGACAATTTAGCAATTTAGTGAGATCCTAAGACCTATCCCCTGTTCCTTTTTCTCAAAAAAAGAGAGGAAGGAAGGAAGGAAGGAAGGAAGGAAGGAAGGAAGGAAGGAAGGAAGGAAGGGAAAGACAGAAAGACAGAGAGAAAGAAAGAGAGAAAGAGAGAGAGAGAAAGAAAGAGACAGAGAGAGAAAGAAAGAAAGAAAGAAAGAAAGAAAGAAAGAAAGAAAGAAAGAAAGAAAGAAAGAAAGGAAGGAAGAAAAAGTAACCAGAGCCAGGCATGGTGGTGCACACTTGTAATCCCAACAATCATGAGATTGAGGCAGGAGAAATGTCTTGAGTTCAAGGACAGCCTGGGCTGGTGAGTTTGAGGACAGCCTGGACTACACAGCAAGAACCTGTCTCAAAAAACAAAACAAAACAGAACTGGAGCTGTACCTCAGTGTGAAGGCTCTGTGGTTCAATCCCTAATACTAAAAAAGAAAAAAAAAGAGACAAAAATATTTATGAACTCCATAAACTAGAATCACTCACAGAAGTCCTTCACAAGCTGGGCATACCTGCACCTGTAATCCCAGCTACTTGGTTTGTTGGGGGTTCGGGGGTTTGTTTGTTTTGTTTTGTTTTGGTCCCAGGAATCAAACTCAGGGCCTTGCACTTGCCAGGCTAGTGCTTGTGCTGCTGAGCTATATCCCCGGTACAGTTTGTTTGTTGTTTTTGTTTTTGTTTTTTGGATTTTATTTTCCAGTACCAGGAATCGAACTCATGACCTTGCACTTGCCAGGCAGGCACTGTGCCGCTGAGCTAAATCCCCAGCCCCCAGTTTGTTTGTTTCTGAGACAGGGTCTCACTATGTCATTCAGTCTGCCCTTGAACCACTATGTACCCCAGGGTGGTCTTGAACTCATGGCAATCCTGCAATTACAAATGTGCACCGCCACACCGAGCAATCCCAGCTACTTGGGAGTCTGAGGCATGAGGACTACAAGTTCAAGGCCAGCATGGGCAATTTAGTGACACCCTGTCTCAAAACTAAAAAAAAGGAGTGGGGATGTAGCTTAAGTGCTTCCTGGTTTGAATCTCTAATAGCCAAAAAAATTTTTTTAGAAAGCATGGCTTCTAAGATAAAAATGTGGGGACAGTCCAAGCGCCAATAATACAAGTTACATAACAAATTCATAATTTTACAATTCTTCAGATCAGATGTCTACAGTGGGTCTCACTGAACTGAGAAGGTGTTGGCCAGGCTGGTGCCCAGCGGAGAACTCACCCCT